GCGTGTGTGTACGATAGTAAACATTGAATCGAGAGTCTTGAATATGTCGACTATGGTAGCCAAATGTCTACTAATGAGTTGTATCCTAGGTCCTTTATTTCTTTTCCCTCTGGTTTAGGGTCTAAGTTGCCCAGGCTGGTCTGCAACTCACTCTATGTGTGTGAACGTGAAATCCTCCTTCCTCAGCCTCACAGTAGCTGGGATGACAGAGTAAAGTCCCAGGCCCTGCTTAGGCATCTTTGTTAAGTTTTGTTTCCTGGTGTCTTTCTTGAGTCTTAGACTACTTAAGCAAATTTATTTCTCATTTAATCCAAGCAAATAAAATTTTTTTTCCAATAGTCTAAAATCCAAAAGCCATACTGATTAATCTTTGCTTATAAAAGGGTTCTGTCCAGCTGATAGCACTATTTGTGTGGGTGAAAGAAAAGAGAACCTGAAACAACAAAGCTATTAGGGGAAACACGGTCAATGAAATCGAAGGCCAATAGCGTTTGGAAGAACAAAACCTAAGCTCTCATAGTTCCTTGAAAGGATGTCTGAAAGGAGTCTCCTGGGAAGGAGCTGGACTTTTAGCATTGGATTCTGTCTCCTGCAGGTGTAACTGTTAATCTTAAAACACTACATGCTAATTATTGGCTAGGTAAGAGTGTATTCAACTTGGCATCTGCAGTATATAAAAACCATACATTCTTTTTTGTGGATATTCATGGGCTGAAGAAGAAATCAATAAATCAATGTTTATTCTAAAACTGCACATGACATTTTCTCTTACAACAACAGAACATCCTTATTCTAAGCAGAATTGACACCATCAAGGGGTAGAAATAGAACTTTGACTGGTGGTATGGCCAACTGGCATGCTTTTCTGAAAGCCATGAACAGCAATTTAATGAATTCAATATAAATGGAAACTCAGAAAAGCTACTTAACCTAAACTGGAATCTATTCTGCTCCATAAAACTTTATGAAGCAGACACAGTTAATTCTGATATTTTAATATTTTGTACTTTATAAATCTTTTTAATGCTCCCTGAGAAGTCACAGATAACCCAGAGAAATACTGTGTCCATTGTTTTATGTAAGGCCATCTCCAGTGCTCAGATGGCTCCTTGCCTTCCAATGTCCTCCCCACATTCACGATTTTTGTTTTGTGACCCACTGAGGGGTTTTGAACACTATGTTGACACACCTGATGGGGGATGTTAGCCAATCACCTTCTGTTTAGGATTTGTCCCCCTGGGGCCACAGAAAAACAGATAAAATGCCCAGGTGTGCTTGTTTCTTCCTCCTTTGCCCCCTGCACTCCTGGATCGCTGGAACCCTGATTTTGTAAATTTCCTTTCTTCTGTTTATTAAAGCTGAATATTATTTTAAGTTGGCCTGGTTAATTACAACTTCCGATCGACCATGCCCTTCACACCTAGATGTAGACATCTCTTGATGCCTAGGGTCAGCTCTCATAACTGCAGGAAGAAGCACTCACTAGAAATATTCTTGAGCTAGCTTCTTCCAGGGAAAGACTTCTTAGTTGTTTTTGTTTGTTTGTTTGTTTGTTTGTTTGTTTGTTTGTTTGTTTTTGAGACAGGGTTTCTCTGTAGCTTTGGAGCCTGTCCTGAAACTAGCTCTTGTAGACCAGGCTGGCCTGAAACTCACAGAGCTCTGCCTGCTTCTGCCTCCTGAGTTATGGGATTAAAGGCATGCGCCACCACCGCCCGGCTGTGTGGCATTTTCTTAATGAGTGGTTAGTTTTTGAGAACTCATTTCATCATGGGTGGTGCTACTCTGGGTGGTGGCCCTGGTGTATATTAGTAAGCAGACTGCATAAGTCACAAAGAACAAGCCAGTCTCCTGCCTCCAGGGTCCTGCCCAGACTTCCCATCATGATGGGCTGTTATCAGGTTATATAAATAAAATAAGGAAATAAAATAAAGGAAATAAAACCTTTCCTCCCCAAGTTGCTTTTAGTCATGGTGTTTTCACAACAGTAGAAGCCCTAGGACACTGTTAAACATAAAGGAACATTGGGGACACCCAAGTAACTATCACAAGATAAAAGATGGACATATTCTGGAATATATATTCAGTGGTCTACTCTACTATATAGAAGTGAAAATAATAAAGTGAAAATTATTTCCATCTGCGTGGACAACTAACAAAAACTGAATGTTGAATGATCAAAGCAAGATATGAAGATAAGTGCAAGATATCAGAGTACTTTGACAAGGCTTAGAAATGAATATTATTACTGTTATTTGTAGATACCCAAGGAACATAAATATGGGAACATGGGAGCCATGAATATCAAATTTTCTCTTGAGGGGAAATATGGAGAAGGAGAGTAGAGTCAATAGGTGGTGTATAACAAGCTTAAATCTTGTGAAAATATACAGTAGTCATGAAAAAATATGAATAATAATGCTAACTATGTGCTTTGTCTAACCCCGCGGTCATCTCCAGATCTTGCACATATGAAGAATGCTAAATGACCTCATTTGTGTGTGTGTGTGTGTGTGTGCACGCACATGTGTAATAGTACATCCCCCAGCAGTGCAGATGCTAACCCACGATTCCCCTGCTCCTGAAGTCCTGAGGACTACATGCTGTTATCACCTTGTGTCACAAAGGATGAGAAACAAAGGGAACCAACTAAGTAGCTTAGCTGGGGTTTAAAGCCAGAAAACATGATTCTGTGCCATTGCTGTCCCTCTTGATAGCAGGAACTGAAAGGGACAGATACTGAATGAGAGTATTCTAATCTCTTTTTAGCACAGAGAGTCTTAATCATGCAGATGGTGGTGAAACTTTAAGGCAAGTGTGTCCCACCTCTGCTAATGCTCAGCATGGAGACATGGCCAGACCGGGGAGCTCTGATGATAAGGAGGCCGGGGGAGAGTCCACATCTGGCATAGGAAGTCAGGGAGGGCCTTGACTGCAGTGAAGTCAGAAATAAATAAAGCGTATGAGAAATCAGTCTGTTCTCTTATGGTTCTAGGCTAACATCTCTAAACTGCAACCATTGTTTTGTCTCACTTACACACAATTGGCACGATTTCTGTACATTTGAAATTCTATTGCTCTGGCTTTGTCAGTGCTTTTGAGAATTTTCCTATGCAGTCTAGTTGAGGTACAGACACAGGGTAGCTACGGGATAAGCATCTGGAAAGCTGGCCCTGGAGCCGGAGTTGGCATGGAGGCAGGACAGACTCTGGGAAACTGAGAGAATGAGGTTGGGGCCAGAGAGCAAGGGGTAGGAGGCTGCAGTTTTGCTGGCTGGCAGATAGTGTCAATCTATCTGTCAGCATCCAAGCCTCTTCTGCAAGCACCCATCATCATCCCCCTTCCTCATGTCAAAAGAAGAGGGCTTTGATGCACACTCAAAAGTTGTTTGGTTCGGCCATTTTTATACGCTGTCACCTGTGAACTTCTCTCTCTCTACCTTCTCAGCTTCTACCCATTTCCCAGCTCAGTCCACATCTTTCTGTTAGGTGTTTTCTCTTAGACGAGCCTCTCTGCTGGTGCAAATAATCCCAATCAGACCAAGTCAAGCCGAATTAAAGATGCCCATGATTAATGGAATTCTCCCGGGGAGCCCCAAGGAAACATGGAGAGGGGAAGAGAGAGAGAAAACGGAGACTTTGTGAAACCCAGAGACTATGTGTTCTTTCTCTGGAGGGCAATGTGAATAGCCTGTGGGAGTGGTCCCGACCTTCCATGGGGAGGGGTCACTATTTGACGGGCTTTTTCGGAGGTGGAGTTTGGACTGAGGCAACTCCCAGGGGAGAGAGCTTATGTCAGGAGCTGGGGTGAAGCTCTCCCCCCAACCCCCGCCGCCCCTGCCGCCACAAAACTCTTTCTAATCCATGGAAGCGTACCCAATGTCACTTCTTCTCAGAATCAGCTTAGAGAGCCAGTGGTATCTTTTCATGCTATCTTTACTCCTGGGTCTTCCTAAAACCCAAGTACCAATACAGTGATAGAAAATCACACATGACCATAAGATAATCATGCACCATCATGTGACAAACTGAGCATAACACATAAGAGAGGTCCAAGAGGATGAAACACTGTGTACACAATTTGCAACTTCAAATAATAATAACAATAATAATCATGAACGCTTTTCAAATCCTATTATGTCTGAAGTGAGGATCAGAAGGCTTCTGTTTATCCTGGAAGCTGATCCTAGGTTTGTGTTTCTAGGTTTGTGGCTATAAGCAAAACAAAACCAATCATTCTTAACAGCTCCTATTGATCCACTGCTACGGGTGGTCTTATTGGGCTTTATGGGAGCCATTTCAGATGGGTGAATGTCACAGAGACATGTTTGAACCTGGGAGAGATGACTTCTACCCTGTATCCCTTTTGTCAGCCAATTGGTAAGTTTACTTTAAGAATATTGATTTTAATTTAATTTTAATTTTCTAATCAAAAGTTCATGTAATTTCCCTTCATTAGGCAATATGGATTGTAAAAATAGAACACAGCAAAAGCAAACAAAAACCACATACTGGAGCTAGTCCCATAGCATTATCAGAAACTACAATTTCCCCTGTCATTATTTTGTCCAAGAATTATGGTGTGAGAGTTAGCATCATTGACATAAAGGACATCTTTAAAGGGACTAGATTCCTTTGCAAACTGACAACAAAGCCCCTGCCAGGCCCAGTCCAACAAACAGCTGGATAGAGGCTCTCTGTACTTATTTCCAGATTATTTCTGAAATCTCAGGGAGGATATGTGAGCTTCTAGAAACAAGCACATCTTTTGAGCAATCCCTTTCCCTGACCGGACCTGGCCCATCCTACCCCTTAGCCCCCTTCCTAGGAGATCTAAGCCTTTTCCCCTCCCTTCCACCTCTTATCAGAAGCATGACAAACATCACCCACTTGCAGTTGGTCCTCTTAATTCCACCTATGGTAACACTAAATTTAAATAATACACATATATTTGCTTTAAAAATGTACTTTGTAAAATCCTCTCTCAAGGCAAAGTATTCTCACCCTCTCGGTGCTAGTCCAAGGTGTTTTTCCTCCAGATCTGTTTCTTCACAGATGACTGCACTTTTTGTTGGTGTTTCTCAAGAATGTTCAAGACTTCTTAAGAGCCTGAAGAACTACCTGAGCTTGTGGGCAGCTTCCTGTGGGGGTCACAGCTTGCAGACTGAACTGTTGCTTGTTGTGCAAAAGATGGGCAAGGTGTTTGAGAAAACAGGAAGCACCTGTCAATGTGTGACTTAATTCCTGGAAGCGGAGAGCTCCCTCTGAGGTGGCTCCAAATACTTCTGCTGCTTCCCCCATGAGCATTCTCCGAGTCTGAGCAGTGGTCCGCAGACCAAGGAGAGACATGTGAGCAGCAGGATTACTGGGAGAACAAGATGCACCCGTGAGAACAGTGGCTATCCCTAGTTTTTCTAGCTCTCCCTTTTTGCTGTAGAGATGGGTATGCATAGAAATGAACCTGCATTTCATTTCATTGTGGTGGGGAATTCCAAGCCAACGGGAATTGGAGGTAACATATTTGCTATTATTGCAGATTCCTGTAATGGGAAATGTTTTCATTAATTGGTTGGTTTATTCAGTGGACATGTTCTGTGTAAAGCAATAGGAAACCTTAGGAATACATGGGGAACAATACAAATATGTTGTATCCCTGTGCCTCACTTCAGTCTTAAAATTACTTACAAACTGACATATTTCAAAGGTGCATTTTAAGTGTTTTAAAAATATTTTTATTGCATTTTATTTTATCTAGTTGATGTGTAGGAGGGGTGTGTGTGTGCTTGCTCATTCAGAGGTCAGAGGACAACTTGCAGGATTCTGTTCTCTCCTTCTACCACGAGGGTCCCGGGAATCGAACCCAGATGATCTGTCTTGGCAGTACGCACATTCACTCACCAAGTCAGCTCAGCCCTTTCAACTTTCATTTTTCCTTTCTTGTAAGTGTCTGTGCGATGTTCTTAATAGAAATGTCGCTGAGAGAAGGTCCTGCTTTGAGCTTGAGAGTTCTAAGCTGTTGGTGTTGGCTGTCCAGGCCAGCTTGTGGTAGCATGGGCTAGCAACATCTAGATCAAGCAATCAATATCTCTTAGGGGTAGAGGTCATATGAATGACACAGGTAAATAGTACAATTCTCTTTCTCATATAGGTAGAGTATGAAAAACAACATACATGGATGTGTGTTGACAGGTTTCTGCCCCACCCAGTCCTGCAGCCATTAAGTCCCAAAGAATCACACAGTGGTCTACATTAATTATAAACTGATAGGCCTAGCATCTCAGGCTTCTTATTAACTCTTATAACTTATATTAGCCCATAATTCTTGTCTGTGTTAGCCACGTGGCTTGGTACCTTTTTAGGTGAGGCAGTCACATCTTGCTTGCTCTGTGTCTGGCTTCCTTTGCATCGGGGTGACAACTGCAGACTGAAACTTCCCTCTTCCCAGAATTCTCATTGCCCTGCCTCTACTTCCTGCCTGGTCACCCCACCTATACTCCCTACTTGGCTACTGGCCAATGAGTGTTTATTTAAAATACAAGTGATAGGTACAGACCATTGTCCCACAGCAAATGAGTCTTTACCAAGTCCTTTTGTCTTCAAGGACTTCAGTTTCTTCACTTAGAATTGAGAAACCAGGTAAAGTAGCTCCTCACATCCTTTCAACATGCAAATTTTTTTGACATTTTAGGCAAATCTCTTTCCTACTTCTTATGGGAACATGAGAAAATCCCCCAATGACAGAGGTCATCAGAGTGACTCCGTGGCGGACACCTGGACGTACGTGGTCACCAGAGTGACTCCGTGGCGGACACCAGGACGTGCATGGTCACCAGAGTGACTCTGTGGTGTACACCTGGACGTGTGTGGTTTCCGTGGGTGGCTGAACAAAGCCCTGAAGGTGGAAGAATGATGATGCAGAATCAGGAGAGAAAATCTTCCAATACTTTCTTGTGCTCATCCCCAGGTGCCCAGTACTTCGAAAAAATTCAGAGCAGCAAAAAGCAGGGCTGACCTCCAGGGCCAGTCCTTGAGAACTGTGTTATGTCAGCTGAGTAAGATTTCCAAGATAGTTGAAGAAGACTGCTCACACTTGTGGTGTATATTAAGGCCGCTCACACTTGTATTAAGGCTACAATACCTGCAGGCGAGGTGTCTAATCTTGCCAGTCTCTTCAATTTGAGTAATTACTTTCTGGATGTCCGTGACAAAGCTTTCTGGAATATAGATAACCCGATTAATTGCTGCCCCTATCTAGTTCACACGCTGTTTTTCCCCATCTAAGCGGGGGAGGGGGGGAATAAGGCCCCCTCCTGTAAGGGGGTCGGAGACCTGGAAGAGCTCTCAGGACACAGCATGCTCTTCCAATCGGTGAGGAAATGTAAGAAGAAGCACCCCCTCTGACTCACAGTGTACTTGCCAGGATAGAAAGCTTTGTTTTATATTATTTCAAAGAAAACATTATCCTGATTTAAAAAAAAATCCAAGGACTAAAGCACCAACCATTAAGAAGCAAACTAGATTTTCATTCTTGATTTTGAGACAGGCTAACTCCACATAGTCCTGGGACTCACTATGTAGACCAGGCTGGTCTTGAACTCACAGAGATCTATCTGCCTCTGCCACCAGAGTGCTGGGATTTAAGGCTTACATCACCACACCCTGCTGAAAAGCAAACTAAGTTTTGAATTGGTAATGATCTCCTGAAATGGGGTACATGAGAAACAGAAGGAGATGACAAGTGAACTCTTTCCAGTGACCTGTAACCTAGCTGTGTAAATGTGCAGCTATATAACCAAAGCCCTTTGACAGTTTGGATTTGAAATTCTCAAGATAAATACTGCTGGTTTGTTGGTAGGATGCCCTGGAAGAGTAGAATCCAAGGAGGAAGAGGCGGGGTTTAACCCTTTGCCTGGGCATCCTTTAGCCCAGTTAACACATCAAATTAGCAACTTCAAGCTCCTAATCCCCAAGACATAAGACTGTTGCTTAATTTAGAAACAGGATCATAGCTGATAGAATTGTGCTAACGTCATACTGGAGTATGATCTAGTATCTGGTAATCCGGGATGAGCTGGCTTACTTATGAAAAGGGGTAATTTGGATATATGGGAGAGGGGCAACAGAGGAAGAAAGAACATTTTTCTCAAGATAGTGTAAGATGTTGCTATAAGGAGCCAGATCAATCCGGGCCTTTCTTAGAGTCCTTTAAAAAAGGACAAAAGGAAGCTAGTTGTGTGTCCTTGTCCAAGAATGGACGCGGCAAGACTTGTTGACACTGGAGCCAGTGTCTCATAGGAGTGTCTGGTGCAGTTTCTAGGAACACAGCTCTACCCCCTTGCCCCGTGCCGTAGTTATCAGTCCTAAGGCAACTGTATCTGAGGTGCCCCCGTATCCCCTGTTCTCTTGGCCAGCATTGTCTGACTTAGGTCTCTGCTGACGTCAGTCATCCCCTGACCGCTGCAAATAGTGTATATGAAGCTGTACATAAACTTCCTTGGCTTAAGTCATCAGCTTATGCAAGACTTCCTGGCCCAGCTATTGATTTTGTCTCTTTATTTCTCATCTTCAGCCATTCAAGGCTCTTCTTGCTGATTTGGACCACACTAGGGTGAGAGATCTGTATGCCAAGGGAAGAAAACCAATAAGGGCATAAAAGCACCAGCAGCTAGGGATGAGGCATGGGACAGATTTGTGTTGCCAGTCCTCAGGGGGGACCAATCCTGCCAACACCTTCATTATAGAGTTTTGGCACCCAGGCTCGAGAAATATATTTAATTGTTTATGCCATCTAGCCTGTGGTATATGATCAAGACAGCAGAAAGCAACAAACAAACAAAACACTGCATGGTTCCAATTGTATATAGAGGGGTAATGGCATGGGTTCTGGGTCCTGAAGGCCTCACAATGGTTCACTTAGTGAGTGCAAGCAGTTAGTGGGCCATTTCTTCGTCCTTACCTGTGTGCACGCACTGTCGTAACTCAGCATCTTTCATCATCTTTCTCTGTCCCTGGAGTTTGTAACTCACTGAAATTCCAGCCAGTGAAGCTGGGCAGGGCGATGCAGGGCCAGCTCCGAGCCTGCATCTTACGGGCTGGGAGGATGCAGAGGGCGCACAGTGCAGTTGCTCTAGCAGAAGTGTTCTCATTAATCCTGAGTTTTTGAGAAACCAGTGCTCACTTTTACCAGTTCTTGAGGTTTGTTACCCAGCATTGACTAATACAACTACTTCCATTTTCTGATCTAGTTTTGCTTGTTGAGTATGAGGGTTCATTCTGAATTTGCTTCACGTTTTCCAAGAAAGAATTACAAAACACATATGACAGAAAGGGAGCCTTGGGTCAGTGGGAGGTTAAGACTCTCGGGTCTTCTAGCAGCCTCTGCCCAGGGTCATGCATCCTGTGCTCTTAAAGGTTGGCTATAATAGAAACCATCATCCTGAATTTTACATGTGAAAAGATCTGGCTAATTAGACATGTCACAGAAAAACAGACCAAAGCAAAGAAACATCTTGAGATACAACCTTGGTTCTGTAATTTCTCTTTTCTAAATTTGAACCTCCTCATTTATGACATGGAAATAATGGGATCAGCACACACACACACACACATACACAGAAACATGCACACACACATATATACACATATACACACAAACATGCATACACACATATACACTCAAACATGCATACACACACATATATGTATACACACATTATCACATCAAAGATGAATGATACGATAATCTCTAACCTGGACCCAACTTTGCTCTTTCCTGGGTGTCTTCAAACCATAATGGCAGGAAAGGAAATGAGACTTCCAGCAAAGACAAGACTGTCTTCTTACATCTCCTTTTCTTTCTGGAAACTCATGGAAGTCTCTGTTCTCCTTGTTCAACACAATACCTTTTATTTATTGTTTGAAAATTGTATACATGTATTTTAATCATAGCTCTCTCCATTCTGCTCCTCCAGCTCCTACTGCCCACCCACCCCTAACTTAATGTCTTTTTTAATTTTTTTAAACCTACTGAGCTCAGCACCGTCCTTGTGAAAGGGTTTGGAGCCCTTCTCTGGATCATAAGCAACTTAGCAACACCTGGAGATACATGACTCTCCCTCCCCCAGCAGCTATCCACAG